TCACCCAGAGGGGTATAGGCAGAGACTACAGACTTCCATTTAAGCACGATCCTGACATACCTTTCTCGCCTCTTCTACATCCATATACCTACGCATACATGCTCGTCGGTTAAGGGTACTCTTAATTTGGCCCATTTTTAGTATATCGCCAATTTGGTCGACAAACTTCCGTCTAGGACGTCCTTTTCCGACTCTTCCATTCACTTCTGCAACATATATTTGCATTGTCAGTCTTTCCGCATTCATTCTTTCTACATGACCAAACCACCGAAGCATTCCTTTCTTAATCCTGGTCACCGCATCATCTTGCAAACCACACTCTTCTTTTATCACACAGTTTCTCACCCTGTCACTCAGATTCAGCCCTAACATACTCCTTAGCGACCGCATTTCTACTGCATTTATTCTACTCTCTTGCTTCTTCTGCCACACCCAACTTTCACTACCATACGTTAAAGTAGGGACTAATACAGCACTGTGAATTGCCATACGTGCCTTTTTTTACACATTCTGACTTTTCGCAATAGAGTGTAGAGCCCCATTTACTTTATTTCCTGCATTCACTCGTCGTTCAATATCCTTATCATATCTCCCATCCCTGCTGAATACACATCCCAAATATACGAACTCATCCACTTGCTCAATTAACTCTCCTTCTATTCTTATTTCACATACCGTTTTGCTTTCATCTCTTTCAAAAACCATCACTTTCGTCTTACTTGCGTTCACTTTCATTCCCCTTTCTTTTAATGACCTGTTCATTAATATAACCATCATTTGCAACTCGGCCGCCGACGATGCAAGTCATACTTGATCGTCGTTTGGTATCGTACAAAAGGCATTTAATGGTTAACTCACCCATTCTTAACCCGCATTCTTCAACTTTCAAATTTTCCAAACAACTGTCCATAAATAGGTTGAACAGCCAGGGGGAAGCTACACAGCCCTGTCTGACACCTTTATGGATGCCAAACCAGTCCGAGTAGACCCCGTTGATTCTAACACAAGCACTCGAGTCCCTATACAGAGACTTTAATGCCTGTATCAAACCAGCGCTCAACCTAAATGCGTTCAGCGTTTGCCATAACACATCCCTGTCCAGTCTGTCATAAGCCTTTTCCAAGTCCATCAACGCACAAAAAACTTTTTGGTTTTTCGCCAAAAACTTCTCCGCGATCATACGCATGGAAAAGACTTGATCTGTACACCCCACTCCCTTTCTAAATCCCGCTTGCACATCCCAAATTTTTTCATCAGTTTCTTTCATAACTCTTTCAATTAGTACCTTAGCATACAGTTTTCCCACAATGCTAAGAAGGCTGATACCACGGTAGTTTTTACAGTCCTGCTGTGACCCTTTTCCCCTATATATTGGGACTATCACGGCTTTGCACCAGTCTCCCGGTACCCGCTTTAGTTCCCAACATAAATTAAACAAGGTGTACAGCAGGCCTGCCACCACGTCCTCTCCAGCCCTTAGCATTTCGGGTGAAACTCTATCATATCCGGCTGCCTTACCTACTTTCATGCTTTTCATTGCTTTCATTATTTCATCTATACTTATCTCCCTATCTCTTTCATCTTCTTTCGGAATTTCTATTTCATGTAGTTCACACTTCTCCTCACTCATAAATTCGCTTTCAAAATATTCCTTCCATCTCTTTAGACTCAACACTTCATCATTCAGGATACAGCCATTCTCGTCTCATATCGCATTCAATCTAGGCTGTTTTGAAAGATATATAATATAATAATTTTATATATATATATATATATATATATATATATATATATATATATATACTTACTTAGAAATATATTTTGTGAAGCAAAGTTTGCACTCTTCGGCTGCTTTATCACTTACAATTAGGTGGAATAGCAATCAAGCAGTGGCTCATAATAGTGTTACGAGCTTGAGGTACGTGACAATAAAAACTGCCGTTTGAATTACCAAAATTTACACTTTAATTTTCTTTACACCAATTAAAACTTAAAACACTAATAATTAATCACACTGATTCACTTTATTTTGCTCCGAAGCTTCGCTTGTCTCGCCAAATTCAATACTGCTTCGATCGCGGCTTGCAGCGCCTTTAAATACACGTTTACACCGATACATCCAGAATATTCCCGTAGATACGGGCGCCGACCGACCGGACGCAGAAAGTTCGAGTGTATGGCTTCTAGACAGCTTAAGCTTAGTTCTTCAATTAGATACTACATGGCGCTGTTGGTTGAAAGATTAGTCATGTCATTTTCTGGAAAGCTCTTCTCGCTCTGTTACCTGACACTAGATGGCGCTAGTGCCAGACGTCAACTTAGGCGCGCAACACTGCCGCCTCCTAAGACATGCACGTCCCGAGCATTATCGGTCCCATAATCACGCGCCAGTCGATCCACATGGACGATCTTAGGAGTACCTCTTGCTCCTTTTCGAAACGGCTCCGCAACGTCAAGGGCTGTCCTCTCTCATGGTGCACAATTTCGATGCTCCTCTACTAAGAGTCTGAGGTCTCTTCACAGCCGCATAACTTGTACACGTGCGACACCAGTCCTCGACATCGTCACGAAAATGGACCCAGTAAAACTGTTCTCGGATCTTCAGTAGAGTTCGTTTAACTCCCAGATGGCCTCCTGAACAATCATTATGGTACAGCTGTAGAACATCCAGTACTTTAGCTTTAGGGACAACCATATGCAAACGACAGCTGTCTCCTCGACCATTGTCCCATTTACGGCACAGAACTCCATCCTGAATCAGCAAGATGTCCCATTGGGCCCAATAGCTTCTAGTGGTCGAACTCATCGCTGAGACGTCACTCCACTTGGGCTTGGTAGCACGGGCCTTCATCCATTCCAGAATCGGCTTAATGTCCGGATCTTCCTGCTGTGCATGTTGTAATCTGTTCTTCCACTCGTTGCTGAGGTGTTCAATCATCAGGATTAGGTCTTCTTGACAATGCATCTGTGTTGCCTTGCTCTTTCCCTCTGTAGTGTCCGACAGTAAAGTCGTATTCCTGTTGCTGCTGGGCAGTGCTGCAAGCCGCACTACCCTCTCGAGATCGATTACCTTCCCTTTTTACAGTTCACTTAGGGCAGCTGGATCGAATATGGCCCCTTTTCCCACAGTCGTAGCACCTAGGGCTGTGATTTTTATTGTGGTCGCGAACCGTAACTGCTGCAAACTCCCTAACGTGGGGGGAACAATGATCCTGTAGCCGCCAGGCGGTGCCGTTAGCTGCACTACCCTCTTGAGATCGATCAACTTCCCTCTCTACAGTTCGCTTAGGGCAGCTGGATCTAAGATGGCCCCGTTCCCCACAGCCATAGCACCTAGGGATGTACCCAATATTGTGGTCGCGAACTGTAGCTGCAGCAGGCTCGCTGCGGGGATGGGAGCGATGATCCTGCCGCACGGCTTCCACCTCCAGTGCATGGGCCAAGGCGTCCTTAAGCGTCTCGTGGTGCCCGAGCCTCACAGAAGCTCTGACTTCAAGGTCGCAGATGCTGTCGATGAATGCTCCACGCTCTCCAAGTCTGCACCAGGTTCCCTTCAAGAAGCGCAGGTACAGACCGGTATGCTTTTCGCACCAGCTTCTCCACCTCTAGAGCCCACTGCTGCAGGTTTTCGTTGAGGCGCTGCACGCGATCTTTAAGCTGCACACGAAAGACGTGTTTCAGGTGAGCGTCGCCATATCTCACCTCCAATGCCTCAAGGAGTTGCTCATAAGTCACTTCCTCACCGAGAACTTCCAGAACTATTAAGGCCTGGTCGCGCAGGCCTAGTGTGAGAGCAGTCATGACCTGACTTTTATTCCAGCCGTTCGCCTTCATAACAGCCTCGAACTAGATTTTGTAGGCCGACCAGGAAGAAGTCCCGTCGAACGGCGGAACTTTGAATCTACGTAGCGAGAGTGTTGTAGCAACTACGGGAGCTGTAGTTCCACCCCCAAGTTAGAGTTCGTCCAGTGATTTCGTCATGTCAGCCATCACGTTGTCAACCCGATTGTTTACTTGGTCGATTCGGGTTTCAGCTTCCGACAGGTGGTTGTCATGTTGAGCAACCTTATCCTTCACCTGCCGTATCTCTTTTCCGAAGGTAGCGTGGATGTCCTTCATGAGGAGCATCTGCTCTTCCTTATCGCGTTGGAGTTGCTCTTCTAAACGACGGGCCTGTTCCTCCTGCGGGCGGGCCTGTTCCTCCTGTCCGCCCCGCAGCTGCTCTTCCAATCGGCGTGCCTGTTCCTCCTGCCGGCAAGCCTGTTCCTCCTGCTGCTCTTTCAACCAACGGGCTTGTTCTTCCTGTCGGCGAGCCTGCTCCTGTAGCATCACCATCAGAGCACCTAAGTCAGGTGCTGCAGATGTAGGAGCTACTGACGGGCCCGCAGCCGGTGGCTGGCCCTTCGACGTCTGCGGCGTTGCACCACCAAATCTTCTTTGGTCCGTCTCCTGCTGGCGTTGACTTCGGGTACGGACACCCTCCGGTTCCTACTTAGGTAAAATCGGCATAATTTTATCCCACTTCTGACACCAATTGTTACGAGCTTGAGATTCGTGACAATAAAAACTGCCGATTGAATTGCCAAAATTTACACTTTAATTTTCTTTACACCAATTAAAACTTAAAACACTAATAATTAATCACACTGATTCACTTTATTTCGCTCCGAAGCTTCGCTTGTATCACCAAATTCAATACTGCCTCAATCGCGTCTTGCAGCGCCTTTAAATACACGTTTACACCGATACATCCAGAATATTCCCGTAGATATGGGCGCCGACCGACCAGACGCAGAAAGTTCGAGTGTAAGGCTTCTAGACAGCTTAGTTCTTCAATTCGATACTAGATGGCGCTGTTGGTTGAAAGATTAGTCATGTCATTTTCTGGAAAGCTCTCCTCGCTCTGTTACCCGACATGGCGCTAATGCCAGACGTCAACTTAGGCGCGCAATAATAGTTTAAAAAATAAGTTAAACACAAAGTAGTTATAACATATTATTATGATTCACAAGCATTTCAAAGCAGTTAAATTATTCCTTTTTCGTTTGGAGTTTAAAAAGCCATGTCGTACGTATCTTATAACAATGAAAAAGAATTTAAATGTTTAAGCAGAGTACACGACATATTTATTATGAAGGCCAAGTTAAAAAAATTTAGCCCTAAAGGGTTTAGTGTACTAACCTATTTTCAACAGACATTTGACAAGGGTTAAGTGAACCAAGTGGGACGGTCGGAGGGTAGTGAATGTTCGATTATTGTCAAGCTGCTTTATAGTCGGCACCAAAAGAGCATAACAATCCTTTATAGGCTGTTTATTTGACCTTTAAGACTTCAAGATTTACGGACGAATCTTTCTTAAAAATAAGTAAATCAGCTCGTAATTGTTACTTGTTTTTAATACTCGTAAAAATGAAACGAAAATTATCCTTTATTTTAGTAAAATTTAGTAAAAGTCTTAAAATCATGTCAGTAAGGCTAGATAATAATTATTTAAATAACGACAAAATTGTGCGAATAAAAGTTGAACGAAATCTATATGGGCGTGTATAAAGCATGAATAATTATCTAATTTAACTTAAAATAAAATCCTATAAAAGTTTTATATACTTTTTACGTACGTGTACAAATATATCAAAATCTGAAAATTAATATTAATACAATATTATTTATATATTTCAGATCAAGGAACATGCAGAAGTGGCACAGTGCCAGTTCAATCATATGTCGTTTACCCACCTTGTCGCAGCGGCTTAAGGAGAACTCTCACCTTCATCTCATTACGTAAGTGTCATAAGAGGTGAATTAGGAAAAGGCCTAAAAAATTTATGAAGTCCGATATATAGGGGTATATAACTATATCGTATTGATTAGACATAAAGTAGCTCCGAAATGGTCGAGGCTTCAAACAAGCGCATAGATTTTCTCCAAGCAATTGCTTGCGTATTTGATGCGTTTTTTATTGCTTATTGCATCGTCTTTACAATGTACACGAGCGGCTTAATCAAGCATTGCACTGCTTTCTCAAGCGGCTAGCATGTGTATCAAGTCGCTAAAGTAATTATAACAAAATTTTCGGTTGATTGTAGCACGAATGAGCCGGCTCGACAGAGGAAGGACCACGCTGCTGCGTTTCGTATGGTGAGTGACCCGATTGACGTTCGGAGACCCTTTTTACTGGAAAAGAGGCATTTCATCTTAGCCCTCAGGGGTGACAACGCATCTGCGTTTTGATTCTTAATCGAGGTTTAATGTAGATGTCTATGGACCACAGCATCAACTTACCATCAAGTGACCTGTGTGCTCGTTTTGTCACCCTTATCCTATAAGAAAGGCTTCTTGTTCCCTTCTCTTTAAACAGATGAATAGCGAAAGGAAAAGGCATTCAATTTCAAGAGAAGTTTAGTAATACGATCGTTATTCTCCATTTCAAACTTGATGGTTTCAGTAAATCCTCCCTACCATTATTGTAAAGGTCTATAATTATCATTCAGTAGATTGCTTACTGACTGATTAAATGGCAAATGTATAAAGGATTTAGATGTAAACTGACTAACATATATAATTTATATCTCGAACATAAAAATAAAATGTTCATCATGTGCGTATTCACACATCAAATTATTTTATCCTTATTAATTTAGGACTCGCGCCCGGCTTCGCACCTTCCAGTTTTTGACAACAGCGCCACCTACCGGATCCAATTAAGTGTTAAATCTATTCAGGGAACTCAAATACATTTAAAAAATTTATCAAATTCATTTTCAACTTTTAGCGAGACTAACTAACAGCAATTGATTTTTATATAAAAGATGACAACAGTCAGCACTTAAATTTTAAATGTACTATCAATAAAATAGAATAAATTAACACTATTGTGTATATTTAATTGAAATTAAGCTTAATAAATTTCACTTAATAACAACATTTAGCGACAACTTAGCGCAATCAGTAAATGAGGAAATAGGAAATTTGGTGCTGAAAAAATCATAATGAACTCATCAGCAACTATTTTAAGTTCGCTGCTGCTAACGAGATTAATAGCAACTGGTCAAATAGTCTGGTGAGTAGAGACGATTCTGATAATGCTACTCCTTATCATCAATTTGTAAAATTTTGTTACTTTATTATTTAATAGATTTTCTTCACTGGGAGTCGCCACCCTTGCCATCTTTTTTATAGAAGTAAAGATGCCAGACACATTCCACCTGATACCAAATGCATGCAATGTTCCAAAGATTTATCCTTGATTGGGAACGAAATTCACTTGCGTTGCCAGTCCTAAGGAACCAATATTGAATACCTAGTCATATAAGCAAACCTGCCTCGCGCGTACAAGTTACATCGGACTTCGAATGAACTACGTCTCCACCATACTCAGGCACGAAGGATAAGAAGAGTGGCGCACCATAATACCGACACTCCTCTTACCCTTACCTGACCCTTACCTTAGCCTTAACACTATCGCATCTGCGGTGCAACCCCTCCAGATCGTGGAGAGTAGGGGAAGAGGCAGATCGCCATACCACGGACCGCATCGCAATACTCCTCTACCCTCGAGTCTTTATCTAGGCCGCGGCAGGTATTGGATGAGAAACATCCTTCCTGGTAAGTAGTGCGTATATTTCCATTTATGATTTCCTACCTATGTTGCCACCGCAGATCACCAACATGCGTTCTGATTAGGCAAGCCAATCCCAGTTCGACCATCCACCTCGGGACAACCAAGTGGTTTCTTCTTGGTTCATCTGAAGGTAACCACTTTAAAAATTAGTAATTGATAACTGTGTAATGTAGGAAAGGTGTCAATGAAGAAAACGTGTTGTTGATACTAAAACTTTAATTATACTACTCTTTATTGTAAACTTATATATATATAATAATGTCGTGGGGACTACACTACACCTCCCACCGACAAAAAAAATAAAAAAGAAATTAATTCATTTGTTATTTTAATCTATAAAATAAATACAAACTCGTCTAATAAAAATATAAATTACAAAAGTCAAAATATTTCCTTATATTCTATGGGTAGGTCGGGTACAAAAAATATAAAAAAGAAATTAATATTTTTTTTTAACTTATATTATGAAATATAAAAGTTACGTTTATTGTGAATGTAAATTACAAAAATGTAATCTTATTATATACTATTTTCTAAAAGTAAATTACAAAAATAAAAATATAATAGGTAGTTGTAGTACAGATAGGTAGTATATGATAGGGTTGCCGACCGTCCTGTTTTCCCAGGACACGTCCTAGTTTTTGTAGTATCTTGGGATGTCCTGGATAGTTTTTAAGTAGCGTCCCGGTTTTCTAAAGCACCCTGATTAAGTCATGTATTTTAAAATTCAAATAATCAAATATACAGCGAATCAATAGCGTAGCGAAGTATTTTATTTTGTTATGTGTATAGTATCGATTGAATATAAAAAGCGTAGTCACATATAAAAAGCGAAAACGAACCGATACTTGCATACATAGTACATACATTTGACACGTATTCGGTTCGGTTCAGTTCGCAGTTAACAAGGCCTTTACGGCGTCCTGTTTTTAAACTGTATTGTCCTGGTTTTTCCAATTTCAAATCCTAGTTTTTTAAATTTGCGGTTGGCAACCCTAGTATATTTTATGGGTAGGACGGGTGGCCAGATCCCCTTGTTTCATATTAATATCGAGGGCACAGTCTTGTACATAGTTTCGTCACAGTTTATTAATTATAAACGTCTACATGATTTTAAACATTTTCTTAAAATATTTTTTTTCTCACAATAAAATTGTACATTTTAACTCAGTCATTTAGTTATTAAGTCATTTAGTCTCTTAAATAATTTTGTCATTATACGACTTTTCTAGTCCAGACTATAACAATACTCCTCTCATTTTGATATATTGTTTTCACATTTCAATATTTCATTTTACTTCATATCGTGTCCGAACACTCTTAAAAATTAATCGGTTATCAGGTTTTCGTAATTCTCTGCAGATCAGGCTGATTGTATGTGGATATGCTAACCTACGACAATTTTTACTTTCTTTACCTATGTCACACACCAACACACTGTCAATACTTTTTATTTATAATTATGTATTCCATATCTTATACATAAATTTTACTCACGTATTTTACAAATTTATATCATTAGTCTCGTATAATATCTAGTTATATCATTGTCAGTCAGGGATTGAGGCTCACAATATTGGTACAACAAAACTAAAACAATAATTGTACACATTATATAATGAGTTTTAAAATCATATAAAGTAATGAAAATATTTTTATGATCCACACAAGTAAGAAGCTGAGAAACTAATAAATTATGATAATTAACAGCTTTTAAAGTTCAAACAATATATATAACTGAAAATAAAATACTACCTTGGATATTAAAATAAACATAACAAAGAAACAATAAAAGGAACATAAGTCGTCATCACTACCACAACAACAGACAGATTAAAATACAAACTGCAATCTCAGTCGCGTAAGCGATTTGCGATACCTTTGTTTTAATTACCAAAGTAGGTTTATGAAGAAACGATTACATCGTACAATGACCACACGGTATTTCATTCACGCCTAATTTTAAGATAACATGTACAATATGTTGTTATAATAAGAATTAACATAAAATGTACCTTAAAAGTATAGTTTTAAACATTTTTTTTTAATTTTATACATAAGTTTAAATAGTTTCGTCATTCATATTTTATTACAAAGGTACATGCGAAATGCACTGGCTCTTAAAAATTAACGGTGTAAAAACATTATGATGTTAATTATATTGCATACAAAAAATAATTTAAAAAATCATTCAAACAGTTATCAAATTTATTCATATAACAAAATATTTATTTATTTAAATATTGAAAAAAAAAACAATTTTAATTTGTTATAATATTGTTTTAAGGTTCATTGCCTTTAAAAAAGGGAAAAAAAACGAAAACGTATATACAACCAAGTTTATAAGACCTCAAAATTGTATACATTTAAATATAGTGAAATTTGCTACCGAAAAATCTATTTCTGATGTCTTGCAACTACAAAATATGAAAAATTTATTGAAATGGTAAATTTTAGTATGTAATAATATAAGCTATCATATTATTTTATTTTTTTCAGGGCACTGTAATAAAATTTCTATAAAACAATAACTAAATTAAAAAGGAATATAAATTAGTCTTCTCCCTTAAAACAAACATTCCACACATAAGTGCTTACGAAACTTAATTTATAATATTGCGTTATACTTATGTTTTCAGTATAAAACATAACATAACATAAACACTTAGAGGGGTAGGCAGAGACTACGGACTTCCATTTGGCACGATCCTGACATACCTCTTTCGCCTCCTTTACATCCATATATATACGCATACATGCTCGTCGGTTAAGGTTACTTCTAATGTGGCCCATTTTCAAAATATCGCCAATTTGGTCGATAAACTTTTTTCTAGGGCGTCCCTTCCCGACTCGGCCGTTCACATCTGCCATATAAATTTGCTTTGTCACTCTTTCCTCATTCTTTCTACATGACCAAACCACCGAAGCATTCCTTTCTTAATCATGGTCACAACATCATCTTGCATACCACATTTATCTCTTATCACGCAATTTCTCACCCTGTCATTCAAATTCAACCCCAGCATATTCCTTAAAGACCGCATTTCTACAGCATTTATTCTACTTTCGTGCTTCTTCTGCCACACCCAGCTTTCAATACCATACATTAAAGTAGGGACTAACACAGCATTATGAATTACCATACGTGTCTTTTTGACACATTCTGGTTCTTCATAATAGAGTGTAGTGCCCCATTCACTCTATTCCCCGCATTTACTCGTCGTTCTATATCCCTATCATATCTACCATCCCTGCTAAATACACATCCCAAATACACAAACTCATCCACTTTCTCAATTAACTCTCCCTTTATTCTTATTTCACATACCGTTTTGCTTTCTTCTCTTTCAAAAACCATCACTTTCGTCTTACTTGCGTTCACTTTCATTCCCCTTTCTTTTAATTCCAGTTCATTAATGTAACCATCATTTGCAACTCAGCCGCCGATGACGCAAATATGACTTGATCATCGGCATATAGAAGGTATTTGACGTTTAACTCGCCCATTCTTAACCCACATTCTTCATCCTTCAAAGTTTGCAAACATCTATCCATAAATAGGTTGAACAGCCAAGGGGAAGCTACACAGCCCTGTCTGACACCTTTTTGGATGCCAAACCAGTCCGAGTAGACCCCATTGATCCTGACACAAGCAGTCAAATCACAAGTTCCTATAAAGAGACCTTAATGCCTGTATCAAACCAGCGCTCAACCCATATGAGTTCAGTGTTCGCCATAACACATTCCTGTCCACTCTGTTATAAGCCTTTTCCAAGTCCATGAACGCACAAAAAACTTTCTGGTTTTTGGCCAAAAACTTTTCCGCAATCATGCGCATGGAAAAGACTTGATCTGTACACCCCATTCCCTTTCTAAAACCCGCTTGCACATCCCAAATTTTTCCATCAGTTTCTTTCATAACTCTTTCAATTAACACCTTAGCATACAGTGTACCCACAATACTAAGCAAGCTGATACCACGGAAGTTTTGCAGTCCTGCTGTGACCCTTTTCCTTTATATATTGGTACTATAACTGCTTTACACCAGTCATCCG